CTTCCTCTACTCCTCTCTGATCTTCCCCTTCTCTTCAGTGCTCACGGCCACACAGGACGTCATGGCCGCCCCGGAAGGTCACCTCGCCTCTACGGTTGATGAAACTACGAATCGATTGTCTCAATGGAACCAGAAGGGACGAAGAAAAGGAGATTAGGGAACAGTTTAGTGGAGGTAGGAGAAGAAATCACATCCCTCCTATATTGGGGCCCACCACATGCGCTCGAGCAGGCCTCGCTGGGAGTGCATTAAGTTCCGTGCGGCCCAACATTTGTTTGTGATCCAGCCAACCAAACGGGCCAAACTTTTCCCATGCGGGCCTAGTTGGGGTAGATGCGGGCAACCAAACGCATTCCAAATTCTTTGTAAATTTGTCGAAGCCTACCGAACATAGTTGTATTACATGGAGCCTTTATCTTAGAAGAGTCTGGTATTGGCGCACCTTGTTGATCAAAGTGATATGTTGTACAATTTCGATCATTGTGGTGGTTCTATATTTGTTTTCATGCATTGCTGATACCCTATAGCGTCACTTTTGTTATAATATGCAGCCTGATAAATTAACAGCGGACAAATGTAGAACAATAAGCATGAACGACACCCTATAGCTTCACTTTTGTTATAACATGGTTATGATCTACTTTAAGAACAAAACCGTCTTAAATGGTAGCTTTACACCAAACAGTGTTTTCCATCTAATGATTCAATTAAAACTTATTTCCTTCACAGTCTACCCTCTTAAGTTCTAGAAATGTACACGCTGACAAAAATTATGACTTTTGGAAGTGATTATATAGCTGTGGAAGGGAAGCATATTTCCCCACTTTACCATACCAACACCTCCCTTTGCAGATGAACAAACATAAGCATAGCAAAATTCGTGACATATTACACTGATAGAAAAAGAGGCTTCCGTCCAGCCCCATTAGTCGCGAAACTGTAGGAACCGCGACTAATGAAGTCTTTAGTCGCGGTTCGGCAGATGAACCGCGACCAAATGCCTGGGCCCAGGGCGCTCGCGGGCTTTAGTCGCGGTTGGCCAGGCCAACCGCAACTAAAGGTGCCCAAAGGCCTTTAGTCGCGGTTGGCCAGGCCAACCGCGACTAAAGCTCCTCCCTTTTAGTCCCGGTTTGTGGCACGAACCGGAACTAATGGGGTTGAGACCTTTAGTCCCGGTTCGTGCCACGAACCGGTACTAAAGGTCCCGTTTTCAAACTCTAACCCCCCCCCCCGGGATCGCCTTTTCAGTTTTAAAAAAAATAAAAGAAAATAATGGAAATGTCAAAAAAATAAAAGAAAATAAGTTTCTCATGTGATATGTGGTCTAGTTGTTGGGAAAATTTGCAAATGTGAATTTTGACTTTATTTGCAAAATCTCTCTGAAATTTGTAAAAATGGGCATAACTTTTGCATACTAACTCGGATGAAAAAGTTTTTTATATGAAAAATCATCTACTCGAAAAGTTACATCCAAATTTAACCGGGGGAACCCCGTTAAACATTTTCAAAATCCTCAAAAACCTAATAGAAAAAAAGTTACGGGGCTTGTAAGATCTAGAGTGGAAAAAATTGAAAAATATTCAAACAGTGGGCAAACTATGGTCAAACAATGGTCAAACTAATTATTCTAGAATATTAGTGTTACTAAATAATTATTTTAATTATTTCAATTTTGGTCAAATCTGGTCAAACTGTGGTCAACTGTGGTCAAACTGTGGTCAAACAATGGTCAAACTAATTATTCAAGAAATATTAGTGTTACTAAATAATTATTGTTTTTTAAAATAATAGTTTCAAACTCAAACAGTGAAATGTGTCACTTCATGCTCAAGCAAAATTCCTGAAGGTTAATAGGATTGACATCTTATTATTGTCAGGAAAACAACAAGTGCAGACTTGGAGCGTGGGAGAATAGAACCCGGAAGTTAAGCGTGCTTGGGCTGGAGTAGTGAGAGGGATGAGTGACCGGTTGGGAAGTTAGATGATTTGGAATGATGAGGGGTGATAAAAGAATAAATTGAGAAGTGATGAGGGGTGGTGATTAGAGACTAGAGGTTAAAATAATTCAGAAATTTGAAAAAAAAAATTCAATTTTTTTTTTCAAAAACCTGTGGCGGCCTTTAGTCGCGGTTAGCCACAAGAACCGCGACTAAAGGTCCTCCGCCCCGACGGCCACCTGGCGCCCACGTGGACGGGCCTTTAGTCGCGGTTCTTAAGCAACCGCGACTAAAGGGGGGGCCTTTAGTCGCGCCCGTTCGGTCGCGGTTGCGCAACCGCGACTAATGGCAGTTGCGAACCGCGACCAAAGGCCCTTTTTCCACCAGTGTTAGTACTAAAAAAATAGAGCAAGAGATAAAAGCACCCGAGGTACCCTAACTTGTGTAGAATGTGATGTTTTAGTTTCAAACTTGTAAAATGCAACTCCACCATACCCCAACTTGCATTATACGTGATGATTTAGTCCCCGGCCTATTACAGCTCGACAAGTGGCAGCCATGGGGCTGGACCGGTCGTTGCCTGCACTTTTGCATGAAACACCCTGGCATCATCTCTAATTAACCCGCAGTACAGAAGAGCAAATGAATTAATTCCACGACCAGGAGAAGTATAGTGTTGATTGTAAAAAGGAAAATAGAAAAACAATGAGCAAGCAACATGCAACATTTTGAGTCTGTTTCCGGGGATCAGATGATGGATCGATGGCTAGCGTCCGCCTTATTATTTAAGGAGCTACACAGGCGAGCTAGGTGCCGAAGAGAGTTGGCTCGAGTACTGCACCGATGACTCAGTCTTGACCGATCAGATGGCTGTTGGGCCGACGGTTCCCCCTAGACCTTGGCACAACGAGAGGGGGGCCATCCCTGCGGTCCCAACCATGACAGGCAAAAGTACGTGCAGTTTTTTAAGGAATCTGCATAATATTTTGTTATTTGCACGTACAGTTTCAGGCAAAAGTTGAAGAAAATTAGTAATAGTATTTCATAAATACAGAAGCATCATCTATATTGCAACGAGCGTTTGCTTCAAATCCTTTTGGTAGAACCGTAGAGGCCAAAAAAGTTCTTCTGCAGAGACAATCAATATATGCAGAAATTGCTCGCCTTTACACTGCACATGCCTGCAAGCTTAGCAGCTTGTGTGAGATGGAAACTGGCTTGGTCGGTCAGGCACAATTATGCAGCCGGTAAAAGGAACAAATAATGAAAAGAGCCAACCAGAACTCGTCTGTCTAGTGCGTTGCTGAGAGGACATGGCAATTTGATTCACAACTACTGGTACTCTTCGCACCCCTTGGCTCGGATCTCTGTGAAGGCTGCCACGAGGCTTGGCACTACCTTGGTGAGTGCAAGCCTTAACCCAGCCGAGCACGGCTGCTTCCTACTCACTTCAGTGGCATGAGCATTGTCGACAATATTTCCCTGCAGCCACGCATTGCATGCCCCGAGCACAAACCTTCCCCGATGGCGGAAGTGTTCCTTAACGAATTCCTCAAATCCCCGAGGTGGCCGACGTAAAAGGTGTAGCATGGTCCGGAGGGTGAGCAGGTAAGCATTCTCACTGTAGGGCAGCGCATTGCGGCGACCCTCCGGTTTGTCGACCATTGTCTCGTAGCCAGTCTCATTGTAGTATGGTTTGTCATTGAAGACAAGGCCCTGGATGGAGACAACGACTTGGAGGAGGCTTGACTCCGTCGAGGACCAGACCTCGGTGCCCTCGCCACCGAATGTGTTTAGCAGGCTGAGGCACACTGTACCAGACTCGTAGAGGTTTGGATTGAGGCGTAGGCCGAAGGAGTGGTAATACACTTGTGGTGGGGCATCCGGGTACGAAGGAGGTAGCTGCAGATCGAAGAAGAAGAGGCCGTCATGATACGGTGTCCCGCTTGCGCCCATCATCACCACCCGGAGCAGATCCATGCGGTCCTCGAACGCTCGCACGTAAATGGTTTCTGCAATTAAATAAGTGGCTATTCATTTGTATCCATGCATATGGACCGTATATTTTGAGCTACACTCACATACCTGGTAAGTCGTTCTCCAGAATTTTCCATTCCTTTTGCACTGCTTTAGCCCAACTCTTCGCACGACTAGCGCCCTGCATTTTCTTGAAAAAAAGAGTGTTGATTAAAGTTATACTTTAGTAAAATACGTTTTGTAATGACTTGCAACATGTTGTGTGGTCATTTACTAATTTTAAGTCAGGGAGTTTAGTTTTGCACTAAAAAACAAATGCCGTAAAATCGATTCCAGCGTTAGACTAATCATATTGTGCATGTAAACCTTCCTTACTCTAACCTTAATAATTACCTACGTTCCTCGTCATTTTCTAACATATATAATTACCTGGTCCGTAGTGTCAAGGTAGTGGTGATCCAGAGGGCTGATCTACAGTACATCGAAACGTGGAAAGCACAACGATTTATCGAAGCAACAGGTAGCACCTGCAGCCTTCGGCCCACCGTCAAAACCGTGGCTGCTCACATCTACAGCAGCATCGCTGGTCTCCACTGCAGCACCACCGATACTATCATCGTTTGCGGGCGTGGGTAACTCTGAGCTTGGCAACGACGACGACGATGACCGCCAGTTCATCAAGTATCCTTTACCTCGAGCCACCATGTCGCTGGTCAATTGAAGCAAAGACCGGAATGACAAACCTAAAAGTCTTGTCCTTGACATTGTCGGGCTGACACTTTCGACATAGTTATCTAGATTCTGAAGATCAATGTCCTAAAATCAGATAACACATATAGCCACATCATTTGAGGTACAAAAATAACTGTGGGAAGAAATTCCTACAGTTTCGGGTAAAAACACATATAGGCACATCAGTTGAGGTGAATCCATCCATATAATCATCTATCATGGTATAAATAGTACTTAATTTGGTGCCTACCAGGAGAAACCAAAATAGTCCCCAAGTGGATAATGTTTACAAAGATAGATATATACCGTGTTGGCAGCAACCGGTTCTTCGGGTGCTTCATCGATGCCATTGTCCTCTACCCAGTCACACATTTCAAGCCATAGCTCCATGTAGTGCTCATCTTTGATGACAACGATCTCATGAGGCGATACCTGCAGCTCGCCCAAACAAATCAACAACAACTAATGAGTTTAGTAGAGAATGTAACATAGTTGTAGATCTAAGAAAGGTACTAGAAACTACCCACGTACCGTTGACATGCTACCATCACCCCAATTGACTTGGACGTGCCCATTAGGAAGTTCAACTACCCGCCCCACCCATGAAAGATCGGCGGGAACGGCATTTTTCTTCTTGTTTCCCTGTAACAAGGGTGCACTTTCACCGTCATCTGTTGGTACCGATGGTATGATACGAATGACAATATCACCATAGTAAGCAAAGTGATTAGAGTCCAATCTTAGGTCATAAGCACTGACGGTATCATCGCACTCGACCTCCATAGCCTCATCGGGATGCCCTGGCGTCTTGAACCATGATACACAAACCGTCTGGTCCTCGTGTTGCATGCTCTTGACGATGCCGACACGCTCCGCTGGTCCAGTTCCAGATGCGGCAATGTCGTTGTTGACACTAGTAATTGTCACGTCAGCAGTAGCGTCAACGGCGGCATTAACAGGAAGAACGTTGGCGACAACATGTTGTCCGGGAAAGAACTCTTGCTCATTCCAGATCCCAAAGGGGACGATGGTCGCTGAAGGTATGCCTTGTTGCCGTGTGCCGTCTTGCCATACCACGTCTACGGTGGTGCGCGTGTTGGCGACGAGCATGGGAAACTCCACCTCCACATGTCTCATGACTTGTGACCGTGGCGCCCGTCTATGGCCCTCAAAGACAAGCTTCCTTAGCTGCTTCCGATAAAACCTCGCATCTTTCTGCTTCGTGGGAGGTAGCACCTGAGAGGTTGATGCTTCACACTCTTCTTGATTGTCCTCTGAGCATGTGTTATATTCCTCCTCCTCATCCTCATCATCATCATCACCATCATTATCATCATCATGTTGATCAGGAGAGCAAGCTCCACCCCCTTCGTTGGAACTAGTTTCAAGAAAAAAAACAGCGGTCAGCAAGCCCCCAGCAGCAGTTGTACGAGGCACAGAAGAATGTTAGATCATCTGGTTTCTGGTAGGCCGGAGGAGCGGATGCCTCCAGTAGCTCCTTGTCAGTGCCACAATGCATTGATGCAACCCAGTAGACGAGGACGCCAGACGTCTCCAGCTTCATGATGGTTCCTAGGTCTTGTTCAGGATGCCAATAGCCATTAAGCCACCGTGCCGCCTTGAAGATTGAACAAGCTTCCGGCCCGCCGACGGACTGCCCCTGGTGGAATATGCTGTTCATTTGGCAGCGACGCCTGGTGTGGCGGTTCTCACACACCGCCACCAGGTTCTTGGACTCCGCATCGGTGACCCTGCAGACGGCTCCGTCATCGAACAATACATCGATGTCGATCGACACCTCCACGACGCGGCCGAGCCACGGCCCGGACACGACAAAGTCGCCAAGGTTGAGGCTCCTGATGCGCCGCAGGCTAGATGGGGACACTCCCCTGATGACCTTGATTGGCAGGCCTTTGTTGTCGAGCTTGGCCAGGTTGAGCATGGTGTTGACGCCGGTGACGACGCCGATTTGGCCGCCCATGTCGGAGGCCGACCCGACCACCTGTCCGGGGTACAGGTGGCTCCTGTCAACCACCGTGATGTCGCCGATGTTCTTATACACGACAGTGTCATCGATTCGTAAGAGCTGGAACGTGTCGACAGGGAGGTAGATGTTGTCCACCTCGCCGTCCGGGAGAACGAGGCCACGATGGATGAGCTTCGGGCCGGAACTCACGAGGTCGAGCAGGTAAAGATTGCGAGATGCCGCCGCGGGGACGACGTCCATCGTAACCGACTTTTCCGGCGAGAGCACGTACGTACGTACCAGAAGCTGGCGGCCTTATGCTATATACCACGTACGGATCGTATTAGAATTCCTATACTACTCGGACAAGTACCACGGCCTGCTTAATTAATTCGAACAGATCGATCGCACACGACGGAAACTGTATATATACAAAAAAAAATGCTCCTGAGTTCTAGCCTTATACGGATGAGGTTTTGTTTTTTTAGGAGAAGGATCCCTGGCCTCTGCATCTGGACGGTGGATGCATCCATTTTATTAGTAGTTTACACAAGACCTTACAAAGTCATCCAACAGTAATAATACTAAAGCCACCGTATAGGCAACATTTGTCACTACTCCTAACCAGTTGATGAAGGGGCGCTGATAGTATGGGCCTAATACCAAACAGACCTTGTATCCAAATCTAACATCTAAGACATGAGGTCCCAACCAGGACGCCTGCCGGGTATGGGGTACCCACCAGTCCGGTGCACTCCTCAACCAGGACGTCTGCCGGATATGAGGCCGCCGCATCCACCTGCCACCAATCCATCTTCAGTGTTATACTGTTGTATCTAGCTTGCTCGGTCTCGCTGCCGTCGACGCCACCATGGCGCCAGACAGCTCCACCGCCCTGCGCTCGTCCATCCAGCCGCATCCGTCGTCGATATGCAGCTGCACCATGCCGCCAAAACCCATCGTCATCTATGCGGTAGATACAACGCCGCACCACCTGGCAACCTCCACACCGTCGCCACTACTGGAGGTACTCGGAGCCCACCATCCATAGCATCTCTCCCCCGAACAGCAGGTCTTCCCAAGACGGCGCCTTCATGGAAGATACGACGCGCAGGACGCCGCCGCCGCCCAATCCACACTGAATTTTGGACTTTCGTCCGGGAGGGGTTCGGAGGTGGATAGGAGAGACCTCGGCTTTGCCTCCACGGAGGGTAACAGCATCGAGTGACGTCGCCGATGCCGGGTCGGCCTAGCCGACCAAAGTTTCCTCCGGTCCCCATCCTATGCCACCAAACCTCTGTCTGCTTCAGATCCGGCAACGAGCCACGATCCAAAACCTACGAAGATGCAAGAGCCATTGAGCTCGACCCGCCATGAGGATCGAGAAGAACCCGTTGTAGATCTCCAGACGCCGAAACCAGCGGTCCGACGTGGCCAGTGATGACCATCACCACCCCGCGGTGGCCGACGGAGTCCGAAGACAGGATCCAGATGGATCTGATCTGGATCCGGCGGCACCCGCGACCACCAAGCATGCCCAACGCAGCCACCACCTCGCGACACGCAGGCCGCCACCACCGCACCGCGCACGACGACGCCGGGAGACCCGCTTGTCGTGCCGCCGAACCCCACGTTCGCCCGACGCTCCTCTCGATCTTGTTGTCCCGCGCCAGCCAAGAGGAAAAGGATGGGGAGAAGCCTCGCCGCCGCCCAGCCGGCCAGGCTTCGCTCGGCGGTTTCTGTTCCTTCTACAATAGCAATACATTTTCTTTTCTTTTTCAGAATTGACAGATCATAGGCGTCTCGCATGCGTTCGTCTCTCCTCATCACCCGATCGAAAATTCCCACCGCCTCATGCGACGTGCAGCGCCGTCCCATGGCAAGGTAGATGGAGAGAGCGAAGTACACTCTTTCGGGAGATGCAGAACCCATCTTAATAGTTTCTTCCCCTGACCTTAGATTGCTAGGACAAACTCTCTCCTCCAGACTTCACCGACGAGTCGTGGATTCGTCTGCCGCTTCAGCGGTTGGTGGCGGGGAGGTGAATCCCGGTGCCTCTGCTCCGATTAGTAGTTTATAGATTAGGGCTTTTTAGTCCTTGCAGGCACAACGCTCGGGCAGATGGTGGCGCTTCTTTTTTGAGTTTGTCTTGCTTCGATCCTCCTCA